ATAATAGCGTACAAACCTATCTATCATTAATACATTATTCGATTAAAAATAGGTAGATATAATACTATAAAATATATTTTGAATAATAATAATAATTACAACATTCACAGTATATTAATAAATAAAAAATTATTCTWAGATTTATAACATAATAATTATAATTTACAGTCGGTATTAATCATATAGGGATATAGGGATTTAATTAAATTATAAAATTTGAACAGGAGAAGTAGAGAAGTTATTGCAGTGTAAGGTAAATATTTTTAAAAATGTATACCTAGTTAAAATTCTGATATACTTATAAATTAACRAGCAAATCAAATTATTGCTGGTTAGGTACAGTCATAATGTGTGATAGGTATACTAATATGTAGTGTGCCTGTAGAATTACTATGAGATCAATAAGATTAGAAAAATAAGTGGGTAACTAAAAAAATTCTAACGCTTATTTTATTCTTCTACATTGCCAAAAAGACTATATAAGATAGATTAATTGATATAATAATTCAAGATGGCCACACAAATATGAAAAATTAACGAAAATAATATTATGTATTATGATTTACTTACCAGTATATAATATGATAAGTTAAGTTATCATAGTATTGAGACTTTCTAGTCTTGTTTGTATACTAAATATGCCAAATGTGTCGTTTTGTAATACAAATATCATCGACCTTCGCTCTAGTAAACATTATAACGGCCAACAATTGGTACTTGGCTGATCGCCGTATTAATATATTATAATAATTTCGAAACTGCAATTAGCGTACCTATTGAGCAAAAGTCTTACATTACAATTTTCAGTTTTCTCGTTCAATARACTACAACTAAATGAGTGAAATGACGTCTTCTCAATTATGTCAYAACTCATAAACTCGTATTTATTGTACCTATCAATTATCCAAAATCCAATATTTATTGCCATACAATGATAAAAACTTGTTGTTATCAATCGCCGATAAGAATTAAGACGTTTTTTGTCCATAATGCGATTAGGATTCAGGACCCGGTAACCATAGCACTTCTGCCGATTGCCGGTAACCATAAAAGTACTATCACAGTTATCTATTGTTCCATACACCCAAGACGTCACATTGGATTGTTTTGAATTTTAACGGTTTACGAGTTTACGACCACTCATAATTCAGATTGGGGCTGGAGCTCTTTACCTATAGGGCATAGGCTATAACTATTGAAGTATTGATTACGGCCTACCGGCTACCACCTACGGTAGTACAGACTACAGACGTGTCAAGAACATGTTCATTGTTCAGTATCGAACTATCGACAGTAATCAAGTACTAAMTACTACAAGTCACGAGTTTACAACAATACAACTGCTCTACCRAGACTGAACATCTGACAAAGTGTTAAGTGACAAATAATAACTGTTTATTGTTTAGTGGCTTAGTGCTGACTGCTGAGTGTAACAGTTTCCCGCGCCCCAACATCAATCTGTCGTCACCTGTTCTGCTGCTATATACACATTMATTTCTCGTTACGTACGGTTTTCAACATTTTCGGTTTCGATTAATTTTTCATCCTCTTCCAACAAGACGTATATCCAGACCTCGAAAAATTCTCATTTCTATYGTCATGATGCGCCGACGGTTGAGTTTCATCGGTGGTGGAGAGTGTTGCGATCCTGGCACGCTCACTGAAAGCATCGTCGAGTCTGACATCCAGCGACAGATACGTGACAGGTTTGATGACGAGTGTCCATACTCATTGACTAGGAAGTCTGTGCGAAACAGCCCCCGTGCACGAAACTGCAACTCACAAGTATGGCAGGTGGCTGTCAACACGGTGGCAAAGAAACGCGATACACTCAGGCGCAGTGTCAGCTCAGTATTCAGGTCAATGAACAAACTCAGGACTGGATTCAAAGTGGCAGCACAGGTATATTGTGGGTTGTTTTGACTTTTGATGATTTTGTTTTCGTTGGTGTTGTAAGTGCTAGGATTGACTGTGTGACATGGATCATAAAAATCAATTTTAATTAAAATATCCGTTAATATGCATTATGGTTAAAATAGGCATATAAAATAAAAATGGAACACCTATGCATATCAATTTAAGGTCATGGATATAAATACCAAACCAAATTGACTTGTTGAACAATATTTTTCAATTATTTACAGTTTAAGGACACATACCTATATGGCTACATATTTTACATTATAATGATATAATTATAATATATTAGATGATTTAGTTAAATTTCAAAATCCCCTGCATGACACTCTATGTATTGGTTCATTTGAGTTAACTCAAAAGTTGTTTTAACAAAAACATGGTTTTTGCCTTTTTTCAGAACCATGTTGTAACATAGCAATGCAATGCAAACTATATTACAGAATTGATGCTTATGATGGACATGGAGTATGTTATCATAATATAAATTTCTCAAAAAAACCACAAAAAAGAGTGTTGTTTTATAAATAGTATTCTAATCAAAGGCCATTAAGAGGACGCTATACCCGCATGTTTTGTCTATGTCTCATAAACGTACAACATAGCCACATGCACTACTAAAATACATATTTTTCTCTCCCTGTTAGATTCAAAGTAGACCATTTAGAGCCAGTTGTACCGTCTCTGATTATAGTTAACCAGAGTTTAATCGGCTGAATTTGCACGGTTAAATATCTGTTATCARCTGATTAAGCGTAATCGAAGTTTAACCGTAGATGGTACAACTGGCCCTTATAAACATACAAATTGAATCAGGATTTTAATTTAGATAGTATTTAAAAGAAACACATTTATCACCATCTTATTGCCAATCAGTTTTGTCGGACTTTCGTTATATTAGGTGTTACGTTATATTAGGTATATTCACATAATATATTATTATTCTCGTATTCTTTTTATTTTCTCGATATCGCAATACAAAAATGTATTTTGTTATTAAAAATGATCATTATTTCAGACTTAAATAACTTTTTTTGTATTTGTGATAATATTATTATTTAAAGACTTAAATATTTGAGTGACATTATTATCTGGATTTACCTATAATGTTTTGTTGGATTATTAGATCTATTCATATTTTATTCAACACTTATTAGTAATTAGTTTATTACCAATATTCCATTATACCTAATTTATTACTAATCAATTAAGTATCAGAAGGTTTGCTATTATTTTATTGTTATGTTTTTGTCATATTATATAAACCTTTTGTCCCCATTAATACTGCCATTGGTTGAATAACAAGTTATATCRTGTTACAGAAATTACGACCATCAACTAGACGTCGTTTTAAATTGGATGAATCGCCTCTGACTCCTAATACGCCCAGAACCCGGTCTAAATGTTTGTTGGGCAGAACGCCCACCAAGATGTATAGTCCTTTTGCCATTGATACGCCACCGTCATTACGTAGGCGATTTGCTTACAGAAGAAATCAAAATATTGACACTGAAAGGTAATTTTTCAAAATGTATACATCATATTTGATATTTTATTACATTTTAAATTTGTTAAGTGAGTCAATAAYTGTATAAACCAATATTTAACATGGCTACTTGAGAGATTTATTTGTTAAAGACTTCAAGTATTATTTATTAATTTTATGCCAGCATTAATAAAGTGTYAGTTAATTATCTATTTAAAATTACTTGRTTATTTGAAATCAGTTACCAGAAGATTTTATTTAGATTTTAGTGGTTAATTTGTATGTTCTATTTTGTTAATAAAAGGTATTTTAATTCTGATTTTTAAGTCTTGATTTGAGCGCAAAGGGTAGATTATTTGAGTTCACTTCTTGATTTGAGTTAGAGCACTTATGTGCTTTACTACATTTTATATGAGCTTTAAATCTTTCAAATGTTGGATTATATCAAAACAAAAAAAATTAATTTAATATATTTTGAGACTTTACTACATGACATTGTTGTTTTATTTTATTTGCTACCTTGATGAATGTGTTAAAACAATTTTTACTTCATATTTTTAATATTTTATTATTTTAATTGTTCTAATTCAGATTGATTGATTGTTTACAGTAATAAATCAGTGAATGGAAAAAGTGAATCTAATAGTTATGAAGCAACAAATAATGAAAATAAGCAACCAACAATCAATTTAAATAAAGAAGATGAAAATTATGGAAGCTTAATATAAGTATTAATTGCAAAAGAATACTGCACAATTTAGCACTTTTTGCAAAAAAAACTAGATATTAAAAGTATAGTGAATGTATACTGGGTATGTTGTTTTTGCATAACACATTTTACTCTATTATTTTTTGTACTATCTATTTTAATTTTTAAATATTTAAATTAATGTTCCTTTTCAATATAATAAGAAAACGTGGAAATTATATTTTCTTTTTATTCGTAAACATATAATTTATTTGTTACAAATATTTACTATTATAGTTGTTTTATTTTTTGGTAGCTAAAAAATATTTTGTCAAATTATTTTTTGAATAGAAATTAATATTGTTATGTCTACTTTTAATTACTAATAGACTCAAATTCTATGATTTAGTTCTACTGTGTAATAATTTAATAACATGTATTAACCTTAATGTTAACTAATTTTGATGTAATTTTATAATCTATTCATGAATCTATTAGGTAACAACTTAGTACAGAATGATTCTAGATCCATACTCTTTTCTGTAAATGAAATTTATATTAGTCTTGTCGGTTAAGTAAATACTAAATTACTAGTGATTGGCATTATCACATTATTTTACTATTGAATTCTACCACCATAATTTGATTATAGTATATTTTGTATGTTGTATATGACAATTTTTTTTTTATGCATTATTCAGTAACAGTTTTATACTTCTCATGTTTCAATGTATTTCAATTGGTTTTAAATATTTAGTTAAGTTTATTTTTATTTTATACATAAAATTAAGAATAAAGACATTATTTTATATTTATAATTAATAACAAATAATATTAATAATTACTATTATTCTATTCAATTCCTAACTAAAGTATCTTAAATTGAAAATTCAATCAATCTGTAATTGTTTGAATGTACCATTCATGTCCAATTCGTCTTTTTTTATATGTTCTGGTCGTTTCGACAAGTTGGCCTTTGGTCGTGCTTCCAACCATTCTTTGTTAGCCATCAACAGTTCCAACATATCCTCTGCAAAGATAAAAATTATTTTTGAGTAACATTTAAAAAATGAATTCGTATCATAGGTGCCTATGCAAAATAATATATGTTTTGTGCACCTATAAATTACTTAAGATATAGGTACAATACAATTGCCAACAATATTACATGAAATACTACATTTCAACGGTATACATCACCTTCATATTTTTCTAGATTTCCGCCGCAGCCACCATAAATGTCTGGTAATACATCTTTTGGAATGTATTGGTATAAATCTTCCAGTGAATCGTGTACAAATATCTATAGAACAATTATAAAATMTTAATCAGTACGATATTTATAATTTATTATGTTGCAGTTTAGGCCTTAGGTTTGATAAATATTTTRGTATAAATAATTTACTAATTTTTTATATAAAAGTTGGTAAGATAAGCTATTTAATGATTTTGTGAAAGTGTAAATGATTAATGATAAGTCACCATAGAGAAACTAAGTATGTGGGGTGATATGCGTGAATAGTAAAGTTTAAGGTGTGTCGGGCTTGATAGAGCCATACTCTATTTTTTTGTTTTACTGATATTTTAATAGTATATAGCATCATAGTCCATAGATTATATTTTTCCAAACTTACCCTGTCTCTGATTTTGTTCGATACAAATAGCTTAAAGAATGTTATAAGGCGGCTCATGAACTTTGGCGGATTTATGTAGTGGACAGTTTTAACTCGCAGTGGGAACGAATCCTGTAAACAGTAAATTGATTATCTGTAAATAATTCTATTTATGTGTGATAATATAAATATAAATATTGTAATTCCATTTACCTTTATAAATTATTACCTATATTACTGACTATTGGAATACAGGATGACTTAGACCAATAATTATTAAAGCATACTATGTTAAGTAGTTAGGTACTATACATATATTCGGTACATGGAAGGTTCATTTTAAAAAAAGCGAGTAAGTGGATGTCGCTCTGCTGTACAGTAGGTTACTGTAATGGATGGGATTAAATTTGAATGCAATGATAGGTATCATTGTATACGAAAAACGATTCTGA